CTAATAACTACAGTGCCTAAAATAAACAATAAATTATTAATTAGATAACAAACAATCAAAATAAATCAGCAACAATTAAACGATAGATAATTAATAACAATCGTTACTAATTATTTACAATCAACCCAATTGCTTCAATATTTCAATTTAAATTAATTACTTAATAATTTATTTAAAGTCAATTAATTAATAATACAATTTTGACTTAACTTGCCTATCTTAGATTTAATTTAATTTAATTAATCAATACGATTTAAAATTAAAATCTAATTTAACTAGTTACCCTAATTTTTTTTTTTTTTTGCTTTAATTCAAATTAATCAGCCAATACGACATCTATTTTAAAAATAGTAACTATTATTACTGTATTAATTGAATTAAAATTTTCTTTATAAATCAACCTACTCCTTTCAACACATAAGGACTTATTTCGGCCTTGTAAAATAAAATTCAAAATATATACTCACTGTCTTCAAATAATTCACAATATCAGGACTTACTGCACGGCCTATTGTTACGTACAGCCCTTCAGGGATCCAAAAGCTGATATACTTTTATAATAAACAATAGTCAAATTAAAATAGTAATCAAATGTATTTTATTGAAACCAAATAAAATAAGCAGAACGGTCGTGATAATTGTGTAGTTGAGTGAATTGCAGCTCGTTCTAGAATGATTATCTCCGTGTGTGTGTGATGGCTGGCGGCTAAGCGAGTCGTACGTTGTTTCCGTCTCTGGATACAATCTGCTCAGGCTATCTCGCTGTCCCCTATATATATGGTGGCGGTGTCCTTTGAAAGCGAGCGGCGTGTGTACAGTCGCCCTTGATATGATATGGACCTCATGAATAAGAGTGGTATTCTAGTCGTAAACACTTTGAGTGTGGTCATTGCTTGCCTTTCACATTCCTAGTTGTTTTTATGAGCAAGTACATGAAATTACGTAATCCCATTACACCTCCCTACCAAAAAAAAAGATTTAGAACATACATTTACATTGTTATCAATTTTTGTATACAGTTAATAATATTGATTACATTATTACATTTGATTACAATAATGTGAACATTTTACAATTTTTAACGTCATCATTATTATTATTATTGTTTTTTTATTATTCATATTACAATTTGTATATTGTGGTTAGTAAAATAAAATTAATACATGATTTAATTAAATAACTAGTGTTAATAAGAAGGAGTAATAATCCTTTTAATAAAATAATATATGTACCTGAAATTATAACATTATAAGCGTTACGTAAGTATAAAATTTAAGTATTTTCCCCTTTTATATAATAGTAATTATTATCTTCCACCTATATACTAATCTATGTGAACAATCGTTAAATTTGCCATAAACATATGCAACTATAAATCTACTTAGGGTAATTCATTATGTAAATTGGATTTCTAGTATTTTCTATTATTTTTGCTAGTTCCTTGCACTCTCCATTACAATAATCATCCATGAAAAGTTCAAGGCTTCTAGTTATTTTATTTAAGGTTCTATGATCGTAACGGTTATTTATTTTTTTGTTTGCCTTCAATATATGCCAATTAAAGCATACGGACTGCAATTTATTTTCTTTAACATTATAAATATGTACTTCCGTTTTTAAAATGGCTTTTAGGTCCTCAATGAATCTAAAATAATATAATAAATGTTAATTTATTTATTTTGCTTTCATTGTATAATTTATTTCGTGTTAAATTTATTTATTAACCATACAAAACCTAATATGCAAAATTATAACAAATCAACAGTGATAACAATTACATCTCAACATTATTAATTTTTTCATTATTATTAACTGTGTGTTTTATTGTTTCGCTTGTGTTAACTCATCTATTCTGACGGTGTCTATGAATATTCGTCATCAAAAGTCGTAAGTCATTTCACTTGTTTCTTAATCGCGTACCCGAAATCAGTTACACTAGACAGTCACTGATCGGTTTTTGGAACCTGAACTTGTTTACGTTGTCGCTTGATTCAATTTATGAGACAGCTGTTGTCTCATCGTCGTCTTTGGATTACGTTTGAGTGGTAGCCTAACCTACAGTTTCTAGGGGCTGCAGTCATCATAACTGTTCAAGTTTAAGTGGTTGCCAGTTTACTAAGTAATAGGCGCATATAATTTCAGTTGCGTTTGACTTCGTTTATTTTCTTTATCATGATTGATAACTCCGATCAGTTATCAGCTGAGCTGAGTAAATGGACGAAGCCGATGCTCATTGAGTTTATACTTAAAAAGTCCACCCCTACATCTGTTTAGCTGAGTGAGGATCTACAATCGACATTATTCGGTGCTAGCCATGATATTGCTCCGACCCCTGGAAATGACCCTGTTGGTATTGCGAATATCCTTCAGTCCGTCGCTGCAGAATTAAAGTCCATTGCAGAGAGTAATGGTAAATTGCATGACAAGTTGAACAAACTGAACTCAGGGAAGTTACTGGCTGCCTCCCCTGGCATTCAGAGACCTTTGATTAGTTCTCCTAGTTTAGCTAATAAACCCAATTGTTTAACAGCATGCTCTTCGTTGCCCACCGAACAACTAAAAGCAGGTAGCATCTCTAAACCTCCCAAGTATGTGGTTGGCTCCAATCATAATGCCCCTACTACCTTATCTGCTGCTCCGGTGGTCAAGTTTGGTGAAATATTTTATCCCGGTTTGACCCTAAAGTCGATGCATCCCAGATCAAAAATGAACTATTTAGCAATATTGATGCCGCTATTACCCAAATAGTTACAAAGCATCCATCTTATGCCTCATTCCATATACGTGTCAATGCTTCGAAGTTAACAGAAATACTTCAAAAATCATTTTGGTCGGAAGGGATTATGATCAAACGCTTCTGGGGACGTCTACTTCCTGAGAAGATAGCTGTTCCACTGGTTTCAAAAAACTAATTCAGACTCGGAAAAACCCTTTTGATGCCTACATTCCTGTAAATGCAGTTTCGTCTAATATTAATGTTTATGGTAGCTCTAATGTTAAGTTTAATTTTAATTGTTCGATTGATACATTTCTTGGACTATATCAAAATTGCCGTGGCTTAAGAACTAAAATAGCGACTGTCAATCGTAATGTATCTGCTTTTAACTATGTATTCATTATGTTATCTGAAACATGGTTACATTGTAATATGTTTTCTAGTGAATTAGGATTTATAAACTATAATATTTTTAGATGTGATAGATCAATTGAAACTAGTGCCCACAATAGAGGTGGTGGGGTCCTCGTTGGTGTCCGTAATGATGTTCCTGCGCATACTCCCTATACATTCCTTTGGTGTTGAACACGTCTTCGTCAAGGTTAACTTCTTAAATACCGTTTACATTTTATGCTGCGTCTACTTTCCTCCTAACTCACCTGTTACCTCCTATGAATTGTTTACAACTGAAGTCGAAAATGTGGTAAGTCACAATACTGGATGTATATTTATAATTTGTGGCGACTTCAATCTTCCCAATATTACCTGGTCTAATGATACGTATGGGGTTACTTACTCTACATCATCACACATCCGTGTTCCCTGCGTCCTCGAATGTTTTTCTTTTCTCAACTTCTACCAATTAAATAATGTTCCAAATCGTTATAAAACCATCTTAGATCTAGTATTTAGCAGCAAAGGTGACATAGTTGTAAAGAAGGCTGATGAACATGTTGTACCTGAAGACCATTATCATCCAACTCTTGTCTTCGAATCTGCTGCTTCAGTTCTTCTTGCTGGTTCCGATCCTTCTCATGTTTTCTTTAATTTAAATAAATCCGATTTCATTCGAATTAATGAGTTCCTGAAGTCATTTAATTGGACTGATACCCCTATCTGCTAATGATGCGACATCTACACTATACGATGCCCTTCATTATTGTGTCCTAAACTTTGTTCCACAAGTTAACTACAAAAAATCTAAATTTCCGATATGGTTTTCTAACCAGCTAAAGAATACTGTGCAATTAAAAAGAAAGGCTCATGCTCTTTACAAATAAACGCAAAGTCCAATTGATTACTCTCGTTTCTCAAATTTACGTGCTCATTGCAAGTTTTTATCTAGGAAATGTCACTCCAAGTATATCTAAAACACTGAGTCCTCATTCCTAAAAAACCCAAAGGCATTTTGGGATTTTGTTCGTAAAACCAAAGTGGAAACACAATACCCGCAACAGTTAAGCTTGGTAATGCTTTTAGTAACGATAGAGACAGTATGTGCGAGATGTTCTCCTCTCACTTTAGTTCCGCGTACTCTTCAACAGCAATCAATTTAGATGATCTACCTCATGAGCTCCCATCTACTTGTCTTGTGAGCCTAGACGATGTCTTAATACATCTTAGAAAGCTACGAAATATAAAATCAGTCGGCCCTGACGGTCTCTCAGGTTATTTTCTTTACTCTATAAGAGCTTCTCTGTGTTACCCACTATTTCTTGTGATAAGTAAATCACTATGTGAAGGTTTATTTCCAGATATCTAGAAAATCAGCTCAGTGACACCAATTTTTAAATCAGGTGACACTATTGATGTTTCGAACTACAGACCGATTTCTATTATTAGCCATTTAGCTAAGCTAATGGAATCCATTGTTTTAAGTAGTATCTCACGTCCAGTTAGTTGTATTTTAATTGATGAGCAGCACGGTTTTAGGCCAGGGCGCTCAACCACTACATGTAATACCATATTCTCAGAGTATGTCATGGATGCGTTCCGTGATCAATCTCAAGTAGACGTGATTTATACGGATTTCGCCAAAGCGTTCGACCGTGTTAATCACTCTGCTCTTATAACGATACTAAAATCAGTAGGTTTTGGGGAGCCGTTAATGTCTTGGTTCAGATAGTATCTTTCCAATAGAATACAATATGTAAAAATTAACGGTGTTTGCTCTGAACCAGTAAATATAACGTCAGGTGTCCCTCAAGGAGGCCACTTGTCTCCGGTCCTCTTCTCTTTATTTGTCAACAGTGTTAAAAGTGTCCTAAAACACTGCCAATTACTTATGTTTGCCGATGATATAAAGTTGTTCCATCGTATCAGTACCCCTCAGGATTGCATCCTTCTTCAAGATGACCTCAACTCCTTGGTCACCTGGGCTGCAACCCATGGGTTGGATCTCTGTATCCCTAAATGCTCTTTAATGGCTTTTTATCGCTCTCTTAGTTGCCCTATTAGTTTTAACTATTCTATATCTGGTGTACTCCTTGAATTTGCTGGTGAGTCTATAAAAGATTTGGGTCTTAAGTTTAATGCTCACTTAAACATAATTTCTTGTAAAGCCATGAAAATGCTTGGGTACATCCTCAGAATTTCTATGGACTAGTTCCTTGAAAGTACTTTTTTGCTCATTTGTTCGTTCTAAACTAGAGTATGGTGCTGTAATTTGGTGCCAAGCAACTATGAGCGACAGCTACCAACTAGAACGAATTCAACGCAAGTTTCTGAAGTGTGCATCCTTCACGTCATCAATTGATTGTCCGCCTCATGACTATAATCCAGTACTTTGCCACCTAGTCTTGACCACGCTGGCTGATAGAAGAGTTCAAACAAACCTATCAGTTTTGGCAAAACTAATTAATGGTCAAATTGACTCACCTGTTCTTTTAAACAAACTTAATTTTAGAATCAAAGTTTTTAATTCTCGTAGTGTTTTCAAATTCCATATTCCCTTTTGTTCTGTGAATTATTTGCGAAACTGTCCTATGTCACGCATGATGCGACTAGCGAACGAGGTTCCTTCGTTTCTATTGGGGGACTAAACCAGTCCTAAGGTAATGTTATTACCCTATTAATTTTAATTTCTTATATTTTTACTGTACATACTTTAGTTTTAAGATTAATTTCAACATTTGTATTGGGCTTGTCCCGTTTCATAAATAAATAAATAAATAAATAATTATTTATTTATTTGCTTTAAAATTCCTTTTATATTTTTTTGCTAATTTATATAGTTTAATGGGCTTTATTTTTGTTACTATATAATTGAATAGGCATTTTGTTAAAATTACGTCAGCAATTGGGTCATGACAATGTGTAATATTGTGATTAATACCGCATGCTAGTTCATGAGCTTCTGATAATCGTCCTACCGTTTTTATTTAATTTACCTAAATAGCCCGAATATAATACTTCCTTAGTTTCTAGATTTGTTAATTCTAATATAAAATCATCATTATTCCTAATACTAATTGCAGATATGTTTAAAAATGCTAAAATTACTTTCAACCTTAATCGCTTAATTATTGTGATATCTGAAGTTCCGTTCCAAAATACTACTATCGGCTCCCTATTGTCTATGTGAAAATATCTTTGCAAGTATACCGTAGACTAGGTTGATTCCCCCTGGTAACTTACACTTTTGTATAACTGTTTCAGCAATGGTTCAATTACTCTTGCCTTTTTTCCACGGAATACTCGTTTGATTCAATGCACTATATTCTTTAGGTCGAATCGGCGGAATCTTCTTAACTTATCATCCTTCGTAAGTATAAGAGGACTCCCCTCCAATTTCTTGGGTTGGTACTTTTCTAAGCTATTCGATATTACGCCGGATACCAGTAATGTTTCGTTCTTACTGACGGTAAAGAATTCGAAATCCATTATAAAAAAGCGTATCTGTGAGCTAAAATAAAATGTTTATATCATTTAGAATTAATCGGTACCTTAGTATTTATTATTATATATATAATATATGTTTCCCTGAGGCTTATTCTTCGAAAATCGTTTCGGTGGTCACACGCCTCGTGATCAACTGTTCTAACAGCAATCCCAACTCTACACATATGGGTCTGTTATGATTTGGTCGTTCAATAACCGCGCGTACAAAGTCGTTAACATGATTCATTACCCGTGCTAAGATATTTGGCCTGAAGGGTACTGTCATGTTAACCTTCTTATGTGCTCCGGAAAACAATGTAAACCGACTATTTCCCCTCGCATTCTCTGCGTATGATTGGTCGATTCAATTAATTCGTTTTTAAACTCTCTGAAGAATTCAAGTGTTTGTAGTTGCATTCGGTTAGTTCGTGTTACAGGTGGTACGTTCTCACCCATTTTTATATTTTAAAATTTCTACGTGTTTTTTTTTATTAATTTTTTGTTTTTCTTCTTAATTTCTGAAATAGTTAAAAGTTATTGTTATATAATTATTACACATAATATTATTTTACGTATATATGTATTTTTTTATGCACGTAATATTATTTTATTTAATTTCATAGAATATTGTTTTACGTATTATTTCTTTTATGCACTTGATAATATTTTATTTTATAATTTATTTAATTATTTATTTTTGTTATTTATTCCTTGTTTCGTTATATTATTTATTTTGTTAATGAAATTTTTTAAATTTATTTATCGATTATGATCTTCGGTATAAAATTGGTGTTGAATATAATATTGATCTAATTTTTCTGCAATTGTTAAACACATTGAATTATAGGCTGGTTCGTGGTTACTTCTAGTGCAAAAGAAAGCTGTTAACGGACGCATCACGGCTTCAAGACCAGATTCGTTAAAAGGTACTTGCATAATATTATTCGCGTCTATTACGTGTTGTCTAAAACAACGAACATATACCGTGTTTCTTAGTACCAATTGATCATGCGTATCATTAAGTAACCTATCCCTTAGTTAACTATAAAAAACATTAGGCTCAGGCACTGGTGTGGGTTCGCTCATGTTATATATATTATATTTATTGTGAAATTCCTCTTGATTGTTTCCTGAAACATAATTATATATATAGTATCGATTTATTAGTTTACATATACCTTGCTTCTTGTTTTTTTATTAAATTATTCGTTTATTTTCTAGTTTAATTATTATTATTGTCTTATGTTTTATCATTATATTATTTTAGATTCTGAGCGGAGCGATGAATGTATTGGTTTTACAATGATGTGTGTTTTTATATTTTTTTATTTTTTTTTTGTGTCTGTCATCACGTTTTAGGACAGTAAAAGTGCTTGGATTTTCTTCAACAGTAGCTTTTCTGATAGGAAAGTGAATCTAGTTGGTACTTTGAGGGGTCAAAAGTAAAATTTTCCCAGTACTTTTCACAAGCGCCGCAAAAAACAACATAAAAATTAAGGAAAAACAGGAATTTTTACGCAAAATCGGTTGTCCAAAAAATCGATTTTGGTTTTTGGTGTAACTCTAAAATAAATTAACGTATATACATGAAATTTTCACTGGTTGTTTATATTTGCATTTGATATACTCGATAACGTTTTCAAAATATTTTGATTTATTTTGAACTGTTTAGGGACATTTTCATTTTCCATCTTTTTTTAATTTTTTTTAAAAATATCAATAAAATTTTATTTGTTGGTTGAGAAAGATTGAAAATTTAATAGAAGGCTCCTAAAATATTGTTTCAAAGGCAGATGAAAAATATTAAAAATCCTTAGTCACAATTTTTTTTTTTAAGCATTTAAAGTTCAAAAATTGTAAAAATATGGAAAATTCACGAAAATTAGCGAATTATTTTGAGTTAAGAATTCGTAAAAATTTTTCTTTTTAAATCTAAGATTTGAAAATGTAATACAAGATTACTCATAAGTTTGTCTATCTTTACCAATAAAAAAATCTCTACCGGAAAGTCAAATTAAATTTTTATGAGCGTTTGAAATTCAAATTTTTACAACATTGAATGTTCACTCGATTTCTCATGTAGCGATTTCCTTATTTTGTTGTAATTCAAAAACGAATAACTGTAGATACATGAAAATTTCACTGAATGTTTATATTAGCGTTTCCTATACACCATACAATTTTGAAAATATTTTGACTCTTTTTGAGCTGTTTATGGACATTTACAGCTTTCAATTCTTTTTAGTTTTTTTTTTCTATAAATATCAATAAAGCTTTATCTGTTGGGCCAAAAAGTGTAAAAATGTAATACAAGGCTCCTAATATTTTGTTACAATATCAGTTGAAAAATATTAAAAATACATTGGCACAGTTTTTTTTTATAAGCATTTAAAGATCAAATTTATCAAAATCTCGAAAATTATCAATAATTGTAATTAATAAATTATAAAATGTTCAGTTTTTATAGCTAACGATTGCAAATTCAACACAAAGGTTCTCGTAAATAGTTCATACTGTAACCAAAAAATCTAAAAAATATATGAACACAGTTATTTTTTACAGACATTTTAAATTCAAATTTGGACGAAATTACATATTAAAAAACGTAGAATAACTATTTTAGTTATTTTGTTGTGATTGAATAATATTATTCGTGGGTACTTGAAACTTCTAAAGTGTACTATTATATATCTATGATAGTATCACGGTTTTTGTTGATGTATAACGCTTATAAGTACCTAATGGATATTGTGATATGATTAATTTGGAATTTATTATAGGTACCTATTATAGGCCAATTTTTGGTTTAATACCATAGATATGTATATGTTACCGGAAGTGTTGACATTTAGGAAATGATGATAATTCCTAGTAAATGTTGACAATTCCTAAAATCGGAAGGAAATGACATCATCGCCTAGTATATGTTATCATTTCCTAACGATAGTAGGCAAAGATGCCACATTTTTGAAATTTAAACTGACTTATTTAAATAATACTTTTATCAAATATAATTATTAATTAATCTACTATCACCTTAATAAATAATCAATAAATAAACAAGTATTTTTTTAACATTTTAATTTATGTAATTTAAGCTTTTTAAAATTTTTTTACGATTTGCAACGTAGTTACTCATTTTTATTTTCGCATGTCAAACTTCCATGACATTTAGAACTACAAATTCTAGATGCCGATCTGCAAGCCCACCTTTTGGTCCTGCATTTTGTCTTACATTGACATCGGGTATATCCTTGTGCCCCTGAAATACTATTTACAGTAGCTGCCTCCCGAAGTGATAACGGTTTTTTTTGCTTGACTTGCCGATTTCAAAACAGTACTTACATCCAATAAATTTGCCTTGCAAGGATTTATTTCTGATCTTGTGTACTATGTTTTAAAAATCCACTTTCAGTGCCTACAATTTAAAAAAAAAAAATTAATTTTTATAACGCATGAGTTTGAATACGAAGATGATTAAGACGTTAATAAAAATACTAGTGTACCACTACTTCTTGCATAGCTTGTATAAATCGTCCTTAACTTATGTTACAACCTCTAATACATTTCTTGGTGATCCACGAGCACGATCTACATCTGGAATACTCAGACGTACCTACTGTAGTTCCAACACTAAGTTCATCATATTTTCTATTGGATGTTTTAACCATTTTTAGTGCCTGTTTTTCTAAATTGTGTGCAGATGATTGACGTTCATCAAGTATATTTTGTTTTCGTTGATCAACTAAATAAATACATTATTAACTTAAATATATTAAACTATATTCCATTTTTTTTTTACCAAATTCTAAGTCACTAGTCACTTGTTCTAAGTTACTAGTACACGGTACATTTTCTTCGACTCCCTCGTCTTTGTTTGACTTCAAAATACATTCAATATCTTCCTCAGATTTCAAAGAGCTAATTTCTTCTACTGGTAAACTAATTGATGCAACACCTAAACGAGCTGGACAACCAAACATCGCCTCATAACGTATTCTTCATTATTCATGAACGATTTGTTGTCATCACGTTTAGCATCAATAATTCATGAAATTGCTTTATTAAATTCATTTTGCCTTTTTTTTTAAATCCATTTTTAAGCTTTTAACAAAATAAATACGTACTGCACTACTAATAACCTACTACTAATCGGATCGTGTTGAATGTACAGTTTATATATTAAACAGATAAATACTGCGATATGCGATATCTATGACATTTTTCAATCAACCATTTTATCGATATCAGTCATTTCCCCACCTGATATTTTTAGATCTCGGAAAATATTGACTGCAGTTGACACCAAACTTACTATTTTATGCCAAGGACACACATACGTGTTTAAAATCGGTTATCACAATCGACATAAACCCGTGTTTGATATAATATCATGTCTCCGCACAGAAATATAAAATAATTTTACCCGTGTGTCTCCGTTTCTTATTTAATTTGAGTTCGATAGTGTCTACTATAGAGAGTGTAAAGTTGTATTTAATTAATTTATAATAATTATAATTTGTATTGAAACAATATTTATCAATTTTTACAGTAAAATATACATTTTTAATATCATTTAAAAAAAAAATTAATTAATAAATGTCATTTTATGCATTTTTTTATATATATATTTTTAGATCATCAAATTCCGGGCCCTAGTGATAACATTGCCTAATAAACTACGGAAATTATGACAATTCCTAGGCGGTGATAACATTGCCTTCCGCTTTTAGGAATTGTCAACATTTACTAGGAATGGTCGTCATTTCCTAATTGGGCAACATTTCCGGTAACATATATAATATGTCTTATACATGGACTGAAATACCGTCTCCGCTCAGAATCGTTTTTCTTATACAATGATATTATATCGTTGAATTCAAATTTAATATCATCCATTATACAGTGACCCACTTGTAACCTGCTGTACAGCAGAGCGACACCCACTTGCCCACCTTTTTTTTTTTAAATTTAAATTTTATTTTATTCATCATTTTTTTTTAAATTTATCTTGGTGGAGGTGGTGGAGTAAAGGATGTCTCTTCATAATTTCGTACGTAGTCATTTCTATTGGTGTCCTATATCTAACTATTCTGCCGGGTAATTCCATGACTTTTGTGGTCCTGATATACTTGCATTTTATCATTATATAAATTGCTATTATTAGTATAATAGATATCAATGCTAGTACTATTGTTATGTATAATAGATGGTTTTTTTGGTTCTGTTCTCTGGAAATTTCTTCGTCGATCATTTGTTGAACTGTGTCTAAATGTCTAATGATTTGGATTCATCTCGTAGATCCGTGAACTGAATATGTGGTTTGTTCCCCCACTGGTTTTTTATTTCGAATTTATGTTTATGTTCTGGTATTTTTCCTTATAGTGTCCTCATGCCAACTTCAGGTATGAAATCCTTATAGTCCTTTTTAACAATTTTATCTGTGGGTGTTAATACTGCATCTCGTGCAAATATTTGACAATTTTTGTTTATTATTTCTATTTGTCCAGTCTGCACTGTTGCTATTTGTATTGGATCTGATAAATTTGTACAATTTAATGTCAGTCCTCCAGTTCCTGCATGAATCCACTTGTCCTTATTTATTAATTTATGATATATATTTCTCTTTAAATTAAATCTCTCAAATTTACATATATTTTCGTTGTCAAGAATTTCAGTTCCTTTAAATAATTGTACTTCACATGGTTGACGTTCATTATTATCTTGTATGGTTTGTGGTAAACCGCATAGTCTATATAATCCGGCTTCTTTGCATTCATTTAGTTGTCTGTCCGTGTATGTCGTAAATCTTTTCCTGCCCTTGGTAATTGCGATATAGTTATAGGTAAGAGTTGTAATATACCATACATTATATTCGATTAAATATACTGGTATATTTAACATATTATATAGTGTTAATTCGATGTCAATTACTAATGGTATTTTTGTAATAAATACTATTGTTTCGTTGGAATAATAAATACTTATTTTGACAGCCTTTTGTAGTTCGCTTAATTCCGTAGGGTTTTGCGTCTGCGGCGCAGTGGTAGTGAGCATGCGGCGCGTTGCGCGAACCGGTCGTTGGCGGTGTTTTTGCGGCACTGCATACGCAGTGAAAATATGTTTATAATAATAGAAAATAAAAAATAATTATTTAATTCATAAATATTTATATAATTTATCCAAATAATATTATATAAATAATAAGGTATCATAGATTTTGTGGACTTGGTAAGTAGTAAGTACCAATAAACAGGCGCGGATACAAGGGGGGGGGGTTATGGGGGCTGAAGCCCCCCTCTTAGACTAGGACTTCGGTACTTAAGATATTTCAAAAAATAATAAAGACTTCGTACAAAATCCCGGGACAGGACGCGGATACATTTATTTTCTGATGTGTAGGTACGCGACGACTTTCGAGAAAGTCGCGGGTCGGACGGAGGCACGTCCGTGGAGGCCAATGACGATCGGTGAAATGGAAGAGCAAAAAGGTAGAATGGGCGCCACAGCTGACGACGGCTGGCGCGTTGATACCGCGGTGACGGTGAACAATAAAAATATCGGTATTTGATGTTGTGGGTCGCCAACACGGACTAAGATATACAGGACTTGACACGACAAGGTTGGAGGGTGTGGGGGGGTTGACTACGAAATGTTTTACAACAGGCAGTGTTCGGGGGGATATTTTCCTTTTAGCATTACTAGCGCCGTCTTAGTGGATACTTTTGGAACTAGATGACAATAATGTGATCTAGTTCCATAAGTATCCACTAAGACGGCGCTAGTAATGCTAAAAGGAAAATATCCCCCCGAACTCCGCCTGTTGTAAAACATTTCGTAACCACAATATTCATCTCGTGTCCAGTCCTGTATATCTTAGTCCGTGGTCGCCAATGTGTTATCAATGTTATCATTACTTGTGATTACACACTTTTGAATAATGATAATGATAATTTAACAAAATTTGAAAAATTATTTCTAAACTTAAAATTTTACATCTTAAACTTAATAATTAATAGTTTATACTTAATACCATGAGTGAGAAAAAAAAGGTGGAACATTGTTTTCATTTTTCAATAAGAGAACTAAAAATGATGCTAGTGATGATAATATAGTAGTCGATAAAGATATTCTAGATGATCCTGATCCTGAAACACCAGATGATAATGTTATTAAGAATTCAGCAAAAGTAAGTGCTTCTTTCTTTTACTCAATTTAATAATTCAATTTAACTTAATGCTTATTGCTTATGTAAATATTTATTATTTTATTTAATACTTATAGTTGAAATAAAATGTAACTGAGCATAATGTGAATGCATATGATGTTGGATTATGTGTTGATAAAGAACTTACTGATGAGGAAAAATTTAATTTTTGTAAAAATGCATGGAGTCCCGTGGCAGGTTATAAGTTTCCAGTTATAAAACAAGGAAATCAAAACCGAAGCTTTAAATTAAATTGGTTGAGGCGCTATCACCGGTTGGCTTATAGTGAACTAAAAGAAGGTGGCTTTTGCAAATGTTGTGAGCTTTTTGCCCCAATAGGTGGTGGTAGAGGATGTCAGGTAATTATATATAGTTAATTATATATTACAAGTTTCAACACAGTACAGAAAAAATGCAAATTAACATAATAATATAATATTAAAATAATTATCTACCTCTCAATTTATTTTATTTTTATCTCCAGGTTTTAAAGATGTTTGTTAAAGAACCTTTTAATAATTATAAAAAAGCACCTGAACTTTTGAAACATCATGCAACAATTCAATATCATTTATTAGCTTCTGAAAAGAGTTCTGTACAAAATTATAAAACCGGTGGATCAGTTGAAGTAATGATCAGTAACAAAGTATCATCAATCATGGAAAATAATAGAAAACGACTTGTACCAATAATAAAAACTATTATTTTTTGTGGACATAATAATCTTCCGTTAAGAGGTCATAGAGATGATGGTTTATTGGATATTGATTCAGCCTTAGTAGGAAATCAAGGCATTTTTAGAAGTCTTATAGTGCACATAAATCTCTGTATTTATGTTAATATTGAAATATTGGTGATTCAGGAAATTCAGAATTGATTCAGGAGATAAAGAGCTAACTGATCACATAAACAGCTGTAAAAAAAAATGCAACTATGATTAGTAAAACTATTCAAAATGAAATAATTGACATTTTGTATAAAGTCATTATTGAGAAAATTATAATCAATGTAACAAAAAACAAGTACTTTTCTATATTCTGTGACGAAACTACAGATATCAGCACAAAAGAACAAATTACTTTTTCAGTCAGGTACAATGTACAAATTCATATAAATACAAAATATCATATAAATATCAATTTATTTTAAATACGTTGACATGGAGGAGATTCAAATCAAAGAAGAGTTCCTTGGATTTATTGAGTTAGTTCGACAACTGGATCTGCTATAAGAGATACTATAATCAAACAAATCGAGTGCTATAAATTAAGCTTAAAGAATCTTCGTGGCCAAGGATACGATGGTGGCTCAAATATGTCTGGTAGAAAAAATGGTGTACAGGCACTTATTTTAGAAGATCAGCCTTTGGCAGTATATACCCATTGTTTCAATAACCACTGAATTTATGTATTTCCAAAGCATGCGAAGTACAAGCTATTAGAAATTTGCTTGGTATTATTGGCACTGTACCTGTTTTTTTTTATCTACATCTGCCAAAAGAATAAATATTATGTTGGACATTATTTCAAAAGATGATTCAATACCAGCCCCCTCAAAAACAAAACTTAAAGCCTTGTGTGCTACCCGGTGGGTTGAACGACGTGATTCTATTCTAACTTTCCGAGAACTTTATTCATATATTATTTTTACTTTAGAAGAACTGGAAAAGATGACTGACTCTGAGACTGCATGTAAATCAATTGGTTTCAGTGCAAGTATTAAACGAAGTGAATTTTTAATATCTTTAGAAATTGTAGCTAACTTATTTTCTCATACAAAAACGTTAAGCTTAGTACTACAAAGCCCTAAATTGGAGTTATCTAAAGCTTTTTCTCATGTTAAGAATGTAATTGATGTTATGGATGATATTAGAGAAAATTCTGTATCCAAATTAGAAACATATTTTAAAAATGCTTCTGATATGGCAGCTCTTGTTGGTGAGGAAATCAGAATACCTCGTTTATGTGGACGTCAAACAACACGATGTAATATTCAAACGACTGATCCAATAGAATGGTATAGGATAACCATTTTTTTACCTTTTATTGATCATTTAATTTCCGAACTAAAATTAAGGTTCAATGAAAAGTTAAGTGAAGTAATGCCTTTAGAAGGATTGATTCCTACACATATTGATAAATATGATGAATCAAATGTTATTAAAGCTCGATGATATATAGTGAAGATTGGTCAGGTCAAACATTGGATATACAATCAGAAATATCAATCTGGAAGAAAAAGTGGCACAATATTCAAACTATGAAACCCGATACGGTGATCGAAACATTAAAACACTGTGATGAATTTTTTCCTATCATTAAAACATTATTACATTTATTGGCTACCATACCAGTTACTACAGCTAGTGCAGAAAGAAGTTTCTCTTCATTAAGACGCCTAAAAAATTATTTGAGGTCAACCATGGGACAGGAGCGTTTAAACGGTTTAGCTATTTTAAACATTCATAAAAACATACCTATAAATATTGATGAAGTAATTAATATATTTTCAAGATCATCTAGAAGAATAAAAACGGAGGTGAAAAGCTATTCTATTACAATAATATGGTAATTTTTATTATTATTAGAGCTTATGTTTGGTATAAGGCAAATGGTAATATTGTTATAATTAAAAGTAGATAGACAATTTTTTTTTAATTTTTCAAATCAACACAATAGTTAATTTTCTTACTAATTTGATAACAAGGTATTTAAAAAATTTTAAAGTAACTACCTAATAACTAATAAGTAATAACTTATCTTTTCCAGTTAATTTAAAACACATGTGACCAAGGTTTTAATTATTAAAAAAAATAAATTAACTTCTTTTTAACTAAGTGAGTTAAGTTAAAATATGTTGCCATAGCTATTCATTTTAAACTTTTAACATTAAATATAATGTTTGCTTACTATTAACTTATAGTTTAATGTTCTAATTTAACTAACTGATATTAACTTTTTTTTATAAACGTGCTTCCCTTTGGTTATAATATTGTTAATATTATAGGTACCTACTACCTACTAGCTTTGGTTATAAATAAAATTATAATAACTTGTAAAATATTTGGGTGGAAGCATGGCTAAATATATTAGCCATAATATAGTTATTTAGCCATGGGTGGAAGTATTAAAATATTTTTTTACAATATTGACCTACCAACTAGATATTTTTACTAAATTCTTTATATCAAATGAAGCAATTTATTTTATTTTATTATTATATCATTCTACTTTAAAATAGAACAAAATCAATATAACTACCAAATCCTAACAGGCTTTCAAGGCAAGAACACTATTAAATATGTTGAAAATGGTTGCTGTTTAATTCATTTTAAATTTTGTTTATTATACATGACTTATTAATTATTGTATTAAAAAATATCTAACCTATATTGACACTTTTTTTTTCTTCAAAAAATGTTATTTAAACTTTTATTTAAAATATTCCTTGATACAAAATGAATTAGTATTTTAATTTGTGTTATAAATATGTAAATATGTACATAAAAATATAATTTTCATTTGGTAAACTTAAGAAGGTACTTACCCTAATATAATATATGACTCTTCTGATCATTCTACTGACATCTACCTGTATTAAATTCACATTTTAATGTTATACAAAACTAAGTATATCAGCTAACTATAACACAGAATCGTAGGTATCAATTATTTAGACAGATTGCACTTATAACATTTTTTAATATTATAAAATCAAAAAGTTAACAAAAGTTTTCTTGCCATGGAACTTGGCCCTCATCCGATACAAAATATTCACATAACAAATCTCGATTACATTCTGCAGCTCTTGTTGGTCGTATTCCCTGATTGTCAATATTTTGATATCCCATGGCATCAATACTTGATGGGTGTGACGGTGTTGAAAATATGCCTTCTCTCATGCATAATTGTGTAAAACACATGCAGCTTTTATCTTGCAACATATAGGTTGTTCGAAAAGCCTAAATGTTGACACTAGCATACCAAAACTGCATTCTACACTTCTCCTTGATCTAGAGCATCTGTTAAGAAAAACATCATATTCAATAATAAAGTTGAATGTTACATCAAATAAAAAAGTGGTTATAATTTTGATGGTCTTACCTATATTGGTCTCTCCTTATTCAATGACCTCTTAGGAAATGGCCTCATAAGGTTTTTTTTTCAGGGGAAAAGCTTCATCTGCAACAAAGTAGTGAGGAAAATTGACCTTATTTTCCCATCCGGGTAAATGGTATAGGTTCCGGTATATCCAATGTACTATTCTCCAAAGCTATTCCTAGTGAACTTCTTCGAAACACTCTACCGTCACTGTTTCGGCCATAATCACCCACATAAATTGTTAAGTAAATTCCATCCGCATCCACACAGGCCATCAACACTAGACTAAAGTAATGCTTATAATTATAATAAGCTGAACCTGTATTTGATGGACACTTAATTTTGAAGTATTTGCCATCAATAGAACCTATACAGTTTGGAATATTCCATAGCTCATAGAATCGGTCTGCAACATTTTCCCACTTATTCTTTGTAGGTATTGGCATGTATATATCTTGAAGACTGTACCAAATATCTTGAGCCGTTTCAGCTATAATACTTCTGGTTGTTGACTCTCCTCTTAAGAAGTACATTGAATGTGCCTTCATATTTCCACCCATTGCAAGAAATCTAATATAAGTAAAATACTTATTTTCTTATTAGTTATTATATACCTTTCCTTTTACTCTTCCACAAGGCACAAACAGTACATAATTTGTAATTCATATGTTATGGATATTGATTATATGATAAAAATATTAGGTATTGAAAAATAAAAGCTTTGGTTGTGTTTTTTAATTTGTATTTATAGCTTAGTAAATTTTTACCTTGCAGTAAGTGATTGCAAAGAAAAGTGGAGAAACATCAGAGGAAGGTACTTACGGCAAATAAAAGAACAACCACCAAGTGGATCCGGAACTAAGCGAAAAAAAAAAGACTACTATTTAAATGAATATTTGCAATTCATTGAACCATTTACAGCATCTAGATCTCAAACAGGAAATTTACAAACAGTACAAACACATGGAAATTTTGATGATGATTCAGAAAGTGATGAGGCACATGAAGATGAAATTGATACTTCTATGTCATATGCTGAAAGTTCCAAAAACCCCATTCAGAGTATTCCGAAGAACAGTTATGTAAAAAAAAAACTAACACATCATCAATAGATGAGTTGAATAAAGTAGTTACTGGTTACTTCAGTAATAAAAAAAAGCACAGGTCAAGATTGATGACAATGATCCAGATATGGACTTTTTAAAAAGCCTCTTACCAGATATAAAACTGTTGAATCCACGTGCTAAAATAATTTTAAAAATCGATATGATGAAACTAGTAAATGATGCCAATGATAAAATTCTAGAGAATCAACTACATCAACAACCAGAAACAGTTGATCAACCCCTTAATAATAATGAAAATCTCAAATATCATCACCAAGAAACCAGACAAGGAACCATGTATTCTCCTTTTGACACCAACGATCCTCAGAATCAACAATCGTACCAAGTATTAGAACATTCTCCATATTGGAGACCATTATAATTCTTTACATAAATATTACCAATTAAATTTTGTTAACATAATATTTTAAATATATGTTAAACTGTTGAAATATTGTATTTCTCTTCTAGTTATTTTGTTCATAAGTTTTCTTTAATAGAAGTAAATTAAGATTATAATATACTGATAAGTATTTAATTATTTTACCTTAACTGTTTTAGGTACCTAAGTTACCTACTTAGTTTTTAAATATATTGATTTATTAAATGAATTATATTATGATCAGTATCCTCAATATCATTATTCATTAGTTATTAAATAATGTAGTACATTAAGTTGCTCAATGTTTTTGTATCCTATATGGCCTATGTTTATATATATAATATATATAGGTATTATAAATACTAAATACATAAATTTAGTTCTGTAGATAACATTATAACTTTATAGGTATCTAATTTTTTTTTGCTTTGCAATTTAAGTAGGTACAGGTACATAAATAAAATAATACTTACAAGATACCATTGTGTACATTTTGAACATTATTATAAGTAGGTATATAATATTAAAATTCGTTTCTAAAATAATCTTTGTACTTACTGACTTGATTATAATTAGGTAATATATGTATATAGTTACTTACCTAAGTGTAATTAACAGTCGCTCTTCAACTGATATAGCTAATCGAAAATTTGTATCATTTTTTTTTTTAAATTTGGACTCACTAAGTCTGAAAGAATTTTGAAAGACCCTTGAGACTTTCTGTAAAAATCTTTAAATTTTTCTGGGTACATTGAAAGTTCACTTGAGACTGTAAATGTACCTAATATAGGTGCATTATTTCTTATGAAAGGATGTACCCAATATATAAGATATCTTAGTCCGTGCCGCCACACCGCATTGGTTGCGCCGGCCCTAAGACTACGGTGCATTATACCTTCTCTAGCTGCGACTATATTTGACCTTAGTAATCCCGTTTCGTCACCATATTGGTTAACCATTATAGTATACAAATATGCACTTAATCTGCCACTAATAAGTCGATATATAATCGGTTGCATTTGTAATGTCCTATTTTTTCGTAGATTTTTTTGTTCATTACTTGTAAATTGTAATAGTTTATATATTGTGTCAGTTTGATTTACTGTATTCCTATTTCTTTTACTGTAGCTTTTTATTAATCTTGTTTGTTCCTTCATTATGTGTAGTATTTTGTTTCCAGATTCTTCTGTCGATTTTATTGCTTCTTGTGTTTTTTAAGTACATTTGTCCTCACAAACGCCAAATAACGTGTAAGTACATAGCGTTCCCTATCATATTTATTAGTCCCCTTTTTTTCGTTTGTAGTTGTTGTCTTCAACTAGTTCGCTTCCTAATGATAAATACATGCGTTCCTTTTGGTTATTTATTTCGTTATATAAATCTGTTATATAGGTATTGATATCTTTTGCATAGTTCAATATGTTTTTGATTCTTACATATTGCTGTGATATTTTTCATTTTTTCACCTAATAAATTATATTTCGTATTATATTCCTTTACTGAAAAATATGTAACAAGTTTATATTCAGCTCCTATTATTTTAGTAGGTCCTAAATTTTCACATAATATTCTGATACATTTATTTCAGCAGATTTGACTAGACAATCACTCATCACCATCACCAAGTATCTAAAATTAAAAAATTTTATTAAACTAACCATCTTATTATTATCTTATAAAATTAAAACCATCTTACATAATCCAATATATCTCTAGTATCGTGCAAAAGTTTCATATAATTTATTAATCGTTTACATAATATATTTGTGGGTGTCCACTGAATCTGATGATAAATCGTACATAATTGTTTGTAAGAATTCGCGTAATTTTCGTTATTTCAAGAGTACTAAATGGCTCTTCAATAAAATTATTCGTGGTATTAATATGTCCTATTAAACACCTCGGCGTGTGTTCCAGCCCTAAAGTATATGTCTCATGGATTTCTTGTTCGATCGCCATTCCTAGTTCCACAATGAATATTCTTTGTCTGTCCCTAAAATTAAAATTTATTTATATCGTATTTATTTTATTTGTTATTATTATTTTTTTATTAATTTTTTTTTTTTTGACTAGATTTATTGTATAAAAGAAATATGGTTCCCAAAAACCAGACGAAGCCCGGACGCGTACCTATACTAGTATTATTATTATATGATTTATTTAATACATTTTTTTTATATTATTATTTTTATTAGCACGAGGTCCAGATATTACGATGGAGATTGAATGGCCAGAGGGGTTTACCCCTCCACCGTACCATGTCGTACGTGCTGCCCTAATGAGCGACGATGAGGAAGACGGCTCCATATCTGATACTGATTAATTATTAAAGAGAAAAACTGATTATTAGACTAAATTAATTTTCATGGTGTTGTTAATATTATATATATATATTTTTTTGTTTAATAAATCGGTTTTTAATCTTCATCTGAATATCTTCTATTGGAATAAAATTCCGTTCTGTCTTTATAGTCCAGTAGAAAATCTGAGTCTGGAGCAATATCGATAAATTCAATTAAGTCCTGGCATCTAATTTGTCCCCGATGTTTCAACCGATTTTGGATCATACTATACAAGAAAAGTTTTATGCTGCGAGTGAATTCATTCAGTTTTGCTTCAGTGAACGGTTCGTTTAACTCATTATTCGCCTTAGTTATATGTTCTATAAAACATTCTGGAAACTCTCCTACACCTAATTTGGCTGTATCATGGATTCCATCTTTTACTGCTTTTTCTAAGTTTTCAATGAATTCTTTATCCAAAAAATTAATATAATTATTCTAACTTACCATTGCTATAGACTTATTGTATTTATTAGGATTTTTTTTTTTCTTAATTGACCTGCGAGTCATTATAATATTTTTTTACGTTTTTTCTATATACAGTAATGACCCTGCGCCCACGCTGTATAGCTACATTTTCGTTCCCTATTACAGCTGTGACCTCGTACGGCCCTAACCAGATTGGATCGAGTTTCGTTCTATGATTATTATCCTTCAATAGTACTAAATCATTAACGTGTAGTTCTTGTGGATTTTCATTTTTATCATAACGTTCTTTACATTTTATTTTATTTTAAATTAAATAATCTCTAGCTATCTTATGCGATATTTGCATATTTTGTTTTAGATCGAATATATAATCGTCGTAACAGTGGCGTATACATAACTTTTGAATGGGGGGGGGGGGGGGATCAGTTGCAAACAAATTATTATGGAACAAAAATACCTAAACCTAGGTATGTGCACATTTAGATACCTAATAAATGATGAAACATATATATATTCAATACATTTTATTTTAAATTGTACAAGTAGTAGTACCTAGTTATAGAATAAAATTTAATTTTCTTTTT